TGGACGGGTCTAATCCCTGTACACACACCATGCTTGTTTCATCCCTCCCTCCCTCCCTCCCTCTCTCCCCCTCCCTCCCTCTCCCTCCCTCTCCCTCCCTCTCTCCTCCCCCCTCCTCCCTCTCTCTCCCTCCCCCCTCCTCCTCCCTCTCCCTCTCTCTCTCTCTCTCCCTCCATCCATCCATCCCCTCCCTCCATCCATCCATCCCCTCCCTCCATCCATCCATCCCCTCCCTCCATCCATCCATCCCCTCCCTCCATCCATCCATCCCCTCCCTCCATCCATCCATCCCCTCCCTCCATCCATCCATCCCCTCCCTCCATCCATCCATCCCCTCCCTCCATCCATCCCCTTCCCCTATCCATCCATCCATCCCCTCCATCCATCCATCCATCCCCTCCATCCATCCATCCATCCCCTCCATCCATCCATCCATCCATCCATCCATCCCCTTCCTCCATCCATCCATCCCTTCATCCATCCATCCATCCCCTCCCTCCATCCATCCATCCCCTCCCTCCATCCATCCACTCCCTCCATCCATCCCTCCATCCATCCAACCATCCCCTCCCTCCATCCATCCATCCCCTCCCTCCATCCATCCATCCATCCCCTCCCTCCATCCATCCATCCCTCCCTCCATCCATCCATCCATCCATCCATCCATCCATCCCCTCCCTCCATCCATCCATCCCCTCCCTCCATCCCTCCATCCATCCATCCCCTCCCTCCATCCATCCCCTCCATCCATCCATCCCCTCCATCCATCCATCCATCCATCCATCCATCCATCCATCCATCCATACCCTCCCTCCATCCATCCATCCATCCCCTCCCTCCCTCCCTCCATCCATCCATCCCCTCCCTTCATCCATCCATCCATCCCCTCCCTCCATCCATCCCCCCATCCATCCCTCCCCTCCATCCATCCCCTCCCCTCCATCCATCCATCCATTCATCCATCCCCTCCCTCCATCCATCCATCCCCTTTCTCCCTCCATCCACCCAGAATTGAAGACACAAATCAAGTTAAAAAAAAAGTTAACTGGGTCAGAGTTAGGGTTATCACTGAGTCGAGTCGGTCCCTTCACCACCACCGACACACCTCCCGTCCCCCTACCCCTACAGCCCATACACACACACACCCTTTGATTTTGTTGCCGCCGAAGGCGGCTAGTTTATTGTGCACCCCATACTCATCCTGTAAGCGGTAGCGCAAAAGCATTACAGAGGGCACAAAAAGGTCTTTATCAGACCTCATCTTAGATTATTACATAAACAATTTCTTCAATCCTTCACACCTTATAGATACAATGTCAGCTAGTTACAGAGAAAGTGCTATTACAAGAGCTACATATTTACAGTAAGTCATCATACATTAATGGTAGGTCTTGTCGTTAATACATAATAGTTTGGCCAATGGGGATATTACAGAGTCATAGGGAAGCTTCTGTTTATTATTAGTCCTCGCAATACACTACTTGTTTCTGAATCTCGTATGTCGTTCATCTACTGGAAGCAAAATGTGGGTACAGTGCAAGGATTTCAGGTAATTTATCCATGGTAATAAGATAGGTTGCCATATCATACAGAGTGAGCTTAGATTTATCTCTAAAAGGCTCAATTTTACAACAATCCAAGATATAGTGTTCGAGTGTGTGTCCCTGCCTATGTCCACACACTTTACACTTTACTTCATCTAGATCCCTATACAAGCCGAACTGCCAGAGATACTTGTAGCCAAGTCTTATACGAGCTGTGACAACATCTGTTAGTCTACTGACTTTGTTACTTGCCCCATACACATGTTTTACTTCACACATTTCATTGTGATGAACAATGGACCTACTAGTTCCGGTTTGCACTGTTCTACTTTCTTCAAATCCATCTAGGAGTTCTCGTCTAATGACACTTTTAAGGGACCTATTTGATAACTCAAGATTCCATTCAATACTGTCTTTATTTACTGCAGCCTTAGCAAGGGCGTCAACTTTGTCATGTTCCTGCATGCCAATGTGAGAAGGAATCCACAACATTTTTATATTTACCCTCTTGCTAAGTATTCTTACATATCTACGTCTAGCTTCCAAGACAAGCACACACCCTCAAATCATCCATCCTTCCATCCCTCCCTCCCTCCATCCTACCATCAATCCATCTCCATCCTCTCCTTCCCTGCCTCCCTCCCAAGCTCTGCCTGCCTCCCTCCATGCCTGTCTCCCTCCCAAGCTCTGCCTGCCTCCCTCCATGCCTGTCTCCCTCCGTGCCTGCCTCCCTCCCTGCCTCTCCCTCACAAGCTCTGCCTGCCCACCTCCCTTCCTGCCTACCTCCCTCCCTCCCAATCTCTGCCTCCCTCCCAAGCTCGCTCTGCCTGCCTGCCTCCCTCCCTGCCTGCCTGCCTCCCTCCCAATCTCTGCCTCCCTTCCAAGCTCTGCCTGCCTGCCTGCCTGCCTCCCTGCCTGCCTCCCTCCCTCCCTCCCTCCCTGCCTGCCTGCCTCTCTCCCTCCCTCCCTGCCTGCCTGCCTCCCTCCCTCCCTCCCTGCCTGCCTGCCTCCCTCCCTCCCTCCCTGCCTGCCTGCCTCCCTCCCTCCCTGCCTGCCTACCTACCTCCCTCCCTGCCTGCCTGCCTGCCTACCTCCCTCCCTGCCTGCCTGCCTACCTCCCTCCCTGCCTGCCTGCCAGCCAGCCTGCCTGCCAGCCTGCCTGCCTGCCTGCCTGCCTCCCTCTCTCCCTGCCTCCGTCCCTCCCTGCCTGCCTGCCTGCCTCCCTCCCTCCCTGCCTGCCTGCCTGCCTCCCTCCCTCCCTGCCTACCTGCCTACCTGCCTACCTACCTCCCTCCCTGCCTGCCTCCCTCCCTCTCTGCCTGCCTGCTTCCCTCCCTGCCTGCCTGCCTGCCTGCCCATCCACCCACCAGTCAGCCATCACCGACACAATGAGTGCATTTGGAGCCGACATGGTGCACGGATGTTCCTTGATTGTGCAGATATGTCCAACAAAGTCGCGGAATGAACACTACAGCCTCTTGACAAATCAAAATATAGTGTTAAAATTAAAGTTGCAGTAATTTTAGTTTACAATAGTTTTCATAAACTTTATTGTAGTACTCAACATACAACAGAACTACTCAACACAGTGTTAACGGCATAATACACTACAGTATGTATTTACTGTACAGCATTCACAACTCCATGAGACTTCAAGATGGACTTAACTCCAACAATAAGGTAAATAACAAATGTAACACCATTGTTAGTAGAGTAATAATATATAGGTACAGTATATAATATGATAATGCATTTTTATTGTCTACAAGAAAAATAAAGACTGATGCAAATGCCTCCTGAAGGTCACCTCTTGCAACGAATCCAACGCTCCAACGAACTGGGGTCGGTCCCATATAGTATGTTGAATCGAGGTTGTACTGTATATTTATATATATTATATATATATATATATATATATATATATATATATATATATATATATATATATATATATATGTCGTACCTAGTAGCCAGAACGCACTTCTCAGCCTACTATGCAAGGCCCGATTTGCCTAATAAGCCAAGTTTTCATGAAATAATGTTTTTTCGACTACCTAACCTACCTAACCTAACCTAACCTAACTTTTTTGGCTACCTAACCTAACCTAACCTATAAAGATAGGTTAGGTTAGGTTAGGTAGGGTTGGTTAGGTTCGGTCATATATCTACGTTAATTTTAACTCCAATAAAAAAAAATTGACCTCAAACATAATGAAATGGGTAGCTTTATTATTTCATAAGAAAAAAATTAGAGAAAATATATTAATTCAGGAAAACTTGGCTTATTAGGCAAATCGGGCCTTGCATAGTAGGCTGAGAAGTGCGTTCTGGCTACTAGGTACGACATATATATATATATATATATATATATAATATGCGAACAAGCCCGAATGGTCCCCAGGGGCCAGATTCACGAAAGCACTTACGAACGTGTACATCTTTTCTCAATCTTTGGCGGCTTTGTTTCCAATTATTAAACACTTAACGAGCTCCGAAGCCCCAGGAGTCTGTTTATAACAATAACAACAGTTGAATGGGAAGTTTTCATGCTTGTAAACTGTTTAATAAATATAACCAAAGCCGTCAAAGATTGAGGAAAGATGTACACGTTCGTAAGTGCTTTCGTGAATCTGGCCCCTGGACTGTATGCAACTGAAAACTCTAAAATATGCTATGCTATGCCCAAGATTACCATACAGGTGCCGGCGGGGGGGGGGGGGGGTTATCTTGAGATGATTTTGAGATGACATATCACCTCACCCAAATGCGAGTATATAAGATAAAAGTTGTTTAAATGATAGCATAGTAAAACTCTGTTTAGTGTTTGCAGGTTATAGTTGTGCGTGTGTAAATTAAAGTCTTTGAAAATGTAATAAGTTATTACGAAACGCGTTCAAGTGTTGCGTCAAACTAGAAATAAAAATGAATTTTGGAGAATTAATTTTTCAATTACCATCGACAGTGAAAAGAAACATAAGAAATATTGAGAAAATTCGTGTTAGAATTATTAATCTTACTTTTTCGGTCATATTTAATAACATATGTACATATACATATACACATATATATATATATATATTTATATATAAATTTATCGTGAATCTGGCAGATGCCGACCAAACCTGAAACCCAGCAGACGTCTGCGACACACCAAACCAGTAAAGGTTTTAGATATTTAGTTTATTTTCACATTTCTTACATTTTGTACCCAAATTTATCATTCTATAAAGGACAAATATTTTGGGGAATATGTTTGCATTTTGCACATGGACAGACTGGCATGTATATCTATAGCAGCACATTAGGGGTTCTATTGATACTGTACTGTACAAAGAGAAATAAATGTCAGATCAAACATTGCATTTCTATCAACTGGTTTCATCAGATGCTTTACCGTTAATACTTCATCTGGACAGGATTACCTAGTTTGTTATTCTATCTACCATCTATACTTACCAATTGCTGTAACTGTTTCATCTTGACAGGATTGCTTGTGATTTGTCGTTTTGTTTCTTCTTCCCTCTGACGAATGAGCAGAAGCGGATCTTCCATTAGTTTCCGTCGCATGTCAACTTGGACACTGCTGGGTTCACGATGGATCACAGACTCGGGATTGATTTCTAATATAATTGCAAGATAAATTTTGAAAATATTAATTATTAAACTGGATATGCTGTGCATTAAGTCCCATATATTCTGCAATTTGTTACATTACCATTTCATACATCAGCTTTGGCATAAATAAAGCTTTGTGTGAATAAAAGTAACTTCCTTACTGATGATTTGGCTGCTCCTGAAAAAAACGATCCCACTGCTTCATTGAACATAACCTTTACAATCAGGCATCACAACATACTGGTGCTGAATCAACATTTCTAATAGACTTTGCAAGGTCATAATAAGTTCTTGGGAGACAATGGGAAAACTACTCAAGTTTAAAATAAAAGTCAAATCATAAAAAAAGTTCTTCACTTCCACCACAAAGCTCTCATTAATTACCATTTGAACTATCCAGCTACAAACAGTGACCACCGCCAATGGCTACACTGTGTTTCCTGACTAATCACCACATACAATGTAAGATTTAATGAGAGTAAAGAGCAAGAGAGAATGCACTACATGAAAACTGTTTACGTTTAAGAATTTAAACAATGGCGGTGTAACTTATTTAAGGACAGTTCAGTATGGCTCTGGAGGAGGATTTTGTTGAGATAATGGGTTTCTGGCATGGGTGGTTTTACCCTTAAGTGCACAAGGACAGATAAGTTAGGAAGTGTGGGTGACCTGCATGAGGCATGGTCAACAAGTGTAGTGACCTGCATGAGGCATGGTCAACAAGTGTAGTGACCTGCATGAGGCATGGTCAACAAGTGTAGTGACCTGCATGAGGCATGGTCAACAAGTGTAGTGACCTGCATGAGGCATGGTCAACAAGTGTAGTGACCTGCATGAGGCATGGGCAACATGTGTAGTGACCTGCATGAGGCATGGGCAACATGTGTGTAGTGACCTGCATGAGGCATGGGCAACATGTGTGTAGTGACCTGCATGAGGCATGGGCAACATGTGTGTAGTGACCTGCATGAGGCATGGGCAACATGTGTGTAGTGACCTGCATGAGGCATGGTCAACATGTGTAGTGACCTGCATGAGGCATGGGCAACATGTGTAGTGACCTGCATGAGGCATGGGCAACATGTGTGTAGTGACCTGCATGAGGCATGGGCAACATGTGTAGTGACCTGCATGAGGCATGGGCAACATGTGTAGTGACCTGCATGAGGCATGGGCAACATGTGTGAAGTGACCTGCATGAGGCATGGGCAACATGTGTGTAGTGACCTGCATGAGGCATGGGCAACATGTGTGTAGTGACCTGCATGAGGCATGGGCAACATGTGTGTAGTGACCTGCATGAGGCATGGGCAACATGTGTGTAGTGACCTGCATGAGACATGGGCAACATGTGTGTAGTGACCTGCATGAGGCATGGGCAACATGTGTGTAGTGACCTGCATGAGGCATGGGCAACATGTGTGTAGTGACCTGCATGAGGCATGGGCAACATGTGTGTAGTGACCTGCATGAGGCATGGTCAACATGTGTAGTGACCTGCATGAGGCATGGGCAACATGTGTAGTGACCTGCATGAGGCATGGGCAAATGTGTGTAGTGACCTGCATGAGGCATGGGCAACATGTGTAGTGACCTGCATGAGGCATGGGCAACATGTGTAGTGACCTGCATGAGGCATGGGCAACATGTGTGTAGTGACCTGCATGAGGCATGGGCAACATGTGTGTAGTGACCTGCATGAGGCATGGGCAACATGTGTGTAGTGACCTGCATGAGGCATGGGCAACATGTGTGTAGTGACCTGCATGAGGCATGGGCAACATGTGTGTAGTGACCTGCATGAGGCATGGTCAACAAGTGTGTAGTGACCTGCATGAGGCATGGTCAACAAGTGTGTAGTGACCTGCATGAGGCATGGTCAACAAGTGTGTAGTGACCTGCATGAGGCATGGTCAACAAGTGTGTAGTGACCTGCATGAGGCATGGTCAACAAGTGTGTAGTGACCTGCATGAGGCATGGTCAACAAGTGTGTAGTGACCTGCATGAGGCATGGGCAACATGTGGGGCACCCATACATCCAGCAAAACCAAAAGAAGGAAACGGCATCAACTGTCCACTCAGTGGAAAGAGGAAGTGAAGCGAGACAGGCCATCTGCTAGGATGTTGGACACACACCTAGCCAACACACACACCTTGCCACCTTCAGTCACAAGGCCGAAGCAACTAACGCTCCCCAAATTCAAGTTCCTACAACCCAAACAGGGCAGCTCCAGGAGCTCCAACCAGGCAATCAACCTGGCCCAAGGCAATAAGGCGAATCGAGCTTGTAACACAGCCACCACCCGATCCCCAAGATCATAAGATAAAGGACGAGTAAATTGAAGCACAAGTGGGAAACAAGTCCTGCAAAACTCCGGGTCGTAGATATCCCCAACCCAACAGGCAGCATGACGGAGGCAATACAGATGATCATCTCCCCGAGGTAGGGGCGATGAACAACCTGCAACTTCGCACAGGGCGAGAGTGGACTCTTAAGAAGAATCCATGGGATCACCGAGCCCACAGGGGTTTTCCAGGGCCCATAGAGTGAATAAGCCCCATGGGAAACCCAGGCACTGGGGCCAGCTAAGATGGTAGAACCCTGTCTATAACAGGCAAACTGACTATTAGTAGCAGACGTGAAACCATGAGGAAAACAGAGGAGAACCACCACCACCTAGGCTAGCCTAAGTAGTAGCAAAGCAGACCTTCGTCCACACAGGCAAAAATGCCGGAAATTAGAAACAAAACCCCAAAATCACACGACTAGCAAACTAGCAGTCGTAGAGAAACATTGGCCGTCACATTAAATGCAAGCTGCGGCAGCCACAGTGCCACCTGATGTGGTAAATTAGCGAGCCCTGGCCAAAACACTCCCCTACCCAAGGCAAAATGGATATTCCCAAGATGCACTAGCCCCAAGGGTGAAGACAATCTCAAGCAATGAAGTCCTCAATGGGAAGTGTTTCCCAAACACCCCAGGGAAGATAACCCTGAAATGCAAAGGTAGTACTTGCAGAGCATCTAGGGAGGATAACCCTAGGCACATGCAGCTCCAGTACCCTAAGACACCTGGCCACCACACCACCCCCACACAGCTGGAACACCTATACAGGGCAAGAATCCAGAACAGGAAATAGAGGCCAAAGTTGACATCCGACTGCCAGCACAGCACAAAAAAAAAAAACAGCGTTGTATGTAATGAAACACCATTTTTTGGATGAGCCCCGGAGGCTCCCTAGAGCTTATCAGGCTAATGTACTTTATATTAGACCGGAACATTAGCTATGGAGTTCAGACCTACCAGGGGACCAGAGCCGGAACCTGGCCCCTTCAGAGAGGTTTCAGGAAGCAATGGCCCTGGAAAAAAAACCCTGTGGTTGGGGGTTTTCCTTATCTGTCATCGACCGGGGTTAGGCACCCAGAAAGGTAGGCATAACATAAACCCCACGTGGTAAGAAACTAAAACAAAAAAATGAACAGAGCGGTAGAAACTCCCTACAATCCCAAGGAAACAAGCAAACATCACACTTTACTCCTGCACCGCTCCTCCGTGCAGCCATCCCCTCCCCGAGAGGGGGAGGGGGGAACCGGATCTCACTGCGCCAGCTGCTTGGCGTGGTGAGGTCCTGGCACGAGGGAGGATTGCCAGGGAGCCTTAAGGGCTCACCCAGAAAATGGCGTTTCATTACGTTCAATGCTAGTTTTCTGTGGGGAGCCTCTACGGCTCCCTGGAGCTACATACCCAAAGAGAAAGAAAAAAGGGACTTACCCGGGAGGAGGAACAAACTCCTCAACGCGAAGTCGAGACAACTGGCTGCAACCTGCGACCCAAAGCAACACAAGAACGCAAAGGAGCAGGTACATTCACCAATTAACGGGCGGCCAGGGCCCTATTCGACCTTCAAAATCCATGCGACCAAACATGAGCCCAAGACATGTTACCAAACACAGCAGCCAAAGCTGAAAACTTCCGAACATCATGGGCGTGAGGATAGACCGCAGGCTGGCTGGGCTTAATAACCCTGCAGACAACTTGAGAGACCCGAGCCCTGGAACAGGGAACAAGGGAAACCGGATCAACCCAAAGCGCATCCCCAGCCACCCCAGCCGAGACGCGCAGGTAACGGCGAAGAGCCACAACCGGACAAAACACATGCTGCACCCCCGGCCGAACCAACCAAGTAACAATGACCCAAGGAAACTTCATGCTGTCGCCGAGATGAAGCTCTCCGGTGGGACACCATCAACGAAGCCACCTGATCACCATAGAAATGGTGATACACCCGCATCAAAAAGACCAGACACGAAGAGCAAAGGAGAAGGTTGAACCAGCCCTGTACCGGACCGGTCCAACCTGCTGAAAAAGGCGGAGCCGCAGGAAACGCCCCGGGTTTGGACACCAAGCAAATAGCGCTGGAATCCAAGGCTAGGCCGGCCACCAAGGGGCCACAAGGACTACTCTCCCTGGGAAGGTCTCCAACCGAGCCAGAACCTGAAGCAACAGCTGGACCGTGGGAAAGAGGTACAGTACAGGTAACCCCACTTCGACCAGACCTGCTGAAAGGCATCCACCGCGAACGCCTTGCTGTGGGGAAAGGGCATCACAGAGTGGGAGATGACGAAACCACGCCAACGCGAAGAGGTCCACATTCAGGAGTTCGTACGTCTGGCAGATCCAACGAAACGAGTCGTTGTTGACCGTCCATTCCGTGGACAGGGGAATGAAACGAGACAGGCCGTCCGACAGGACATTGAACACTCCCTGGATATGAACCACACGGAGATCCAAACCCCAAGAATCCAGCAGATGAACCACTAAGGGACCAACCCCAAACAGGCAAGAACCGAAGAGAACCCCCGCAGTTCAGGCAATGAACCACCAGAGAACAGTCCGAATGGGACAAGTCCAGAATGAACCTCAGATCCGCAGTGTCACGTTTCGGCACTAGAAACAGGCGGGAAACCCACCTGAGGGATGGGGTCGTTTCGGCCACCCCCAAGTGCACCCACTCCAAGATGACAAAGCGCAGGAGAAGAAGCCTGCCCTGCTAGCCTCGAACCCTCGAAAGGAGGACGAGCCGCCCAATACAGTACCACCGCAGGCCGGATGATATGACCGAAAAGGCCCACAAATCATGGGACCAAGCGTGGGCAAACAGAGCAAGCCTTCTTCCCCCCCATCGCCCCGTCAACAGGGCGAACCGCGAAAGGGCCGACGCCCCTTACGAGAAACCAAGCGCCGAACAGGGCGATCACCGCGCCGACTAGACGATGCCGGCACCGAAGGCAACGTAGGCTCAGAAACTGGCACCAATGGCCCACTTCGACCAGTGGAACCCTGAACCCTGGCACGACCCCTCCGAGACGGCCGAGAACGACCATCCCAGAGAATCAACAAGTCCGACATAGGACGACAATTAGACGAAGCCGCTTCCAGAAACTGCAAGACCGCAGCCTCTGCAAACAGCAACAGACAAAACGGAGACAAAAACCTAAGAGCCAGAGCCCAAGCGGATTCCAAGGAGAGGAAGAGCACAGCCCGACTGCACGCGAGGCTAAAGCAAAAAACAGAGACACCGCCTCCTTTAGGATAGGTGCAAAGAGCTTCAACAGTGCAGCCGACGCCCTAATTGCCGAAGTCAGCGCCCCAGACTAAGTCCCGGCAATCAACACCTTCGCATCCTCAAGCTAGGCAGAAGACAGCTCGAGAAGGGAAAAGAAATGCAATACAATACTGAAGCCAAATGCCCATGGGCACACAAATCCTCCGCAACCAATGAGGCCGAAAGAAAAGGAACCTGCACGTGAAGCTGTTAAAGGCCAACATCCCGAGAAAGCAAAGGGGCGAACAAGCATGCATTAAGCTGCTCAAACTCGGGCCCCCCCCCCCCTCCCAGGTAAGCCTGCATAACTGTAGAAGTTTCATGCTAATCAAGCGTGCGGGTCTAACAGAACCCATGCTCCACGCCCCAAACGAAAAGAATGGACAGTCTGCCAGCCAGGAAGACTTCGGTACCTCCAAACGCACCCAAAACCGGGAAGAAGAACCAAACTCAAAAGAGGGCGGATCCATCACAGAGGCATAAACTGGGTCTCGCAAGAGATATGCAGCAAGAGCCTCTGGAACCTCCTTCGCAGAGATACGAGAAGTAGAAAATCTCTGGAAAGACGAGGCCCGAAGAACCCAAAGGGGTCCGGAACTAAACCCGGGGAGGAGTCGAACCCAAATCATACTCATACAGGGAAGGGGGGCAAGAAAACCCCTCCCCCTGCAACAATAAGCCCCGCGAGGAAGGCAAAAGCACCCAAGCGGGGTCAAAGGGGGGCCCAAGGCCCCCAGATCGACTCCTCCCCAGCCCCGAGATTCCCCAAGTCGGGACCCGTGGTAGAGCCGTCCTCCAAACCCTCTTGCCCTAAAGAAAAGGCAGAGTCCAAGGGCAAGGCAAACAAGAAGGGGGCCTGCTGGTGGGACCCAGAAGCCTTGGCAGGAGGAACTGGCTCAAATGCCTCCATCTCTGACCCGAATGGGGCAGCCCGAGTCTCATTACCAACTAAGCCCTGTGCTAAATCTGAAACCCTCAGACGTTTGGCAGCCGGACACGGGGAGAGGTAGAGAATGAACAACAGAGAGAAGGACCAGGGAGCGCAGACGGAAACAAAGTTGAAGCACCCAACGTCCCAAGGTCCGGGTCCTTAAAACCAAAGTGGGGCAGCCGCAGGGCATCCGGGTGGGAAATCAACCTAGTGTGTTGCAATAACCTAAACTTAACATACAACGCAGATGCTGCCTGTACCCTAACAGCATCATCATCACAATAAAACTGGAGCACAAGCAGAGAACACGACTCAAGACTCGGGTCAAAGGTGTCATTGACCCAACAGGCAGCATGACGGAGGAGAAACAGGTGACTGTCACCCTGAGACAAGGGCACACAACAACCTTCAAACCCACACAAGGCAGGCTGGAACTCGAAAGACACATCCATGGGTCCACCGAGCCCCGACAGATTTCCAGGGTCCATAGGGTAACAACTATGGGAAGCCCGGGCAAGGTGTTGCTAACTGGGTTAAACACCCAAATTAACAAGAGGTAGATGAAAACACTGAAACCCCTGTGACGTATACAAGCACGGGGGCCTAGCAGAGGGCCATCAAAACAGTACCAGCGGAATTATTGTCCCACTAGGCAGACCCCCACCAGGTAAACAAAAACAAAAGAAAAGAAAAAACCCGCAAATGCACACCGTCCCATGAGGCAGCAGAAACCGATCACCATGTAGGTGGCAGGTCGCGCAACAACTTGACGCCCTAACCAGCACAACACCACTTCTTACTCAAGGCCAAACAAGGGCCCCAAGCCCCAGCTGGCCCCAAGGGCGAAGCAAATGCTGAGCAGCAAGAACCCCTATGGGAGGGGTTCCCGAACACCCTAGGGGAGATAACCCTGACACGCAGGGGCAGTACTCACAGGGCACTCAAGGAAGGAAGCCCCCTAAGCTCATGCAGCCCCAGGCACTGATGAGGTACTTCTGGCTACCACACATCACGACAAGACAGCAGAGAACACCACACAGGCAAACACCGCCCAGGAATTTGAGGCCAGAAAAGCGTCTGTCCCAGTTGACATTAGCTTACGAACGGGAGTGCTAGACAGCCGACGCAGTGAGGTCCGAGGGCCCTCCTCCCCCTCTCGGGGAGAGGAGGGCTGCGCAGACAAGCGGTGCGGCAGTAAAGTGTGATGTTTGCTTGTTTCCTTGGAATTGTAGGGAGTTTCTACCTCTCTGTTTGGTGTTTTGTTTTAGTTTCTTACTACATGGGGTTTGTTTTGTTATGCCTACCTTTTTGGGTGCCTAACCCCAGTCGATGGCAGATAAGGAAAAACCCCAACCACAGGGGGGATTTTCCAGGGCCATTGCTTCCTGAAACTTCTCTGAAGGGGCCAGGTTCCGGCTCTGGTCCCTGGTAGGTCTGAACTCCATAGGTAATATCCCGGTCTAATATAAAGTACATTAGCCCGATAAGCTCCAGGGAGCCATAGGGGCTCCCCACAGAAAAAACTTTTTCACTGTCAGAGTAGTTAGTAAATGGAATGCACTAGGAAGTGATGTGGTGGAGGCTGACTCTATGCACAGTTTCAAATGTAGATATGACAGAGCTCAAGAGGCTCAGGAATCTGTACACAAGTAGAGTAATTGTTGAGGGGAAAAGGAGAACCAAAGAGCCAAAGCTCAACCCCCGCAAGCACAACTAGGCGAGTTGTGCAACTTTGGACGCAGGTTCGAATCCTCGTCACGGCCCTTGTGGATTTGTTCTTTAGGCGAGTACATCAGTTCAAGAATTGGAGTGGTGGGCTGCCGGCACATGTGAGCTGGATCCCCACCCCCTTCCCCCCCCCCCATGAAGGGGGGAGTAGTGATAACGAGTGGGTGGGGGGGGGCCTAGTTGCATGAAGTGTTGCTCGTTTATTTTTTTTTTAGGGGATTGCATAATGTAACCAGACAGTGGTCCGTTTTGATTCGTCTACTTTTCCGAGTCATTCCCCGGTCTTTGACATTTATGACATACAGTACTTTAAATGTAAAGTGCTCATAGGCCATTGTGGCTTGCACCTCCCTGAGGGGGCCAGGTTCTGGCTCATGGTCCCCAGTAGGCAAAGGACTCTCACTGATGACCCCAAACTAATATAGCACTATATCAGTTCTGATAGCTTCAAGGAGCCGACGGGGCTCCCTACAGAAAACACACAATTCTTCCACAGCTTCAAAAGTTTTTAAGGCTACAGACATTTATCAGTGTAAGGTGTAAATATTCTTTTGTTAGTATTTCACACCATTAAGCTCCTCTCACTGCTGACCCCTCACACACTAGACAATTATATTTTTATAAGAGAAAGAGACAGATATAGACCAAGACAGACAAAGAGACAGACAATAGATAGATGAATGGATAGATAGATAGATGAATATATCAAGAGATGGATACAGGTATAGACAGACATAAGTAGATGGATGGCTATTAAGATGGATGGATAGATATACAGTAGATATATGGATGGACAGATGGGGAGAGATGAATAGATAGTTGGATAAATAGGATGGGTAGATAGTTGGATAAATTGATGGATACATGGAGAAATAGAAGGATACATGGTTGGATAGATGGAACAATAGATGGATAGATTGATGGATGGATAAACTGGATATATAAATGGACAGATGGGAGACAAACAGACTTGGGCAATGCCTGGTACACCCCCATAATAAACTATATAGAGCAAGCATCTATCTGCATCAGGCTTCAGAAATATAATGGTATTGTATTCCATAAAAGAATTCAAATATAACCCACCATGTTCGATGGTGTATGGTGCTCTGCTGTGCTGGGGTGGAGGCTCCTCGCCCTCTAATGGGTTAACAGCGGTAGACTCGGATTTATCCAGCTGTTCGAAGGCTTTGTCAATCTTACGCCCTAGTAAGTATTCTTCCCGACTAACATGACCTCCTGGACCCTGAGAGAAAATAAATGAGAGTGCAACAAATAATTGGAGCAGGCAAAAGTTTCTTTCGTGCTACACATTTGTATTACTTTTAGAACAAGGTAAAGCATAACAAGCATCTTTTTCAAAGATTAAATCAATAGAAAACTGGCAGGATATGTCCCAAGGTATGGATACTGGCGATCATCACATGATCATGTCACTAAATTACAACATTTTGTAATCCAGCTCATAATGTCAAAAATAAACCATACATGGCTTGTCAACTTTAGGGAAAATGAGTGAATGAATAAATTGCTACATATATTATTATCACACCAAGTAAGCAAGTAAGGAATTATGAAAAGATTAATGCACCAAAAACCAGCGTTGAACGTAATCAAATGCCATTTTCTGGGTGAGCCCCGGAGGCTCCACCAGGCTTTCAAACTGAAATGTACCATATTAGTTTGGTGCCATCAGTCCTTTAAGTTTTATGCCTACTGGGGGCTATGAGCCAGAACCTGGCCCCCCTCAGAGAGGTGCAAAGAGCAATGGCCATTTAAACACACTACATTTAGAGTTTGTCATGTCTGCCATCGACCATGGAAGGCACCCAGAAAGATAGGCGAACAAATACAATTTATCTGGTTAAAATTGCATCCTATATCCGAACACAGCCAAAGAACTCCCCAAAAAAGAAAAGAATGAAACAAGCAAAACGTCATCTGAGCAGGGGTCCCCCCTCCCCCAACAGGGGGGTTAGGAGGGGACCCTGCTCAGGCAAGCCGGTCACACCACCCCCAGTTCAGAGAATGATGAAAACTGCCAACCGGAGGGAGGGAGGGAAGGGGGGAAGGTGTCAGGGAGCCTCCAGGGCTCACCCAGTAAATGGCGTTTCATTACATTCCATGCTGATTTTCTGAGGAGAGCCCCGTCAGCTCCATGAAGCTAAGTACCCACAGTTAAGTGAAAACAGGGACTTACCTGGAAGGTGCAACACTGCAAGACTCAACGAAGACAAGATAACTGCCGTAACAGATGCCCCATCTCCACATACAGCCGCAGGGGGCGTGGAACATTCATAAGATATCTGGCGGCCAGGACCCTGTTCAATTTCCAAAACCCCCGTGCCCGAATGTCAACCCAAGACATATTACCAAACATTGCAGTAAGAGCTGCATACTTCCTCACATGGGCACGAGGGTAGACCGCAGGCTGACTAGATTTGATAGTCCTGCGGAACACCCGAGACACACAAGACCTGGAACGGGGAACCAGGAAACCGGGTCTACCCAGACCGCATCCACTGTCACTAAAGCAGTAGTGCACAGGTAGCGACATAAAGCCGCAACCAAACACAAAACATGATACTCCCCCAGCTGAACCAACCAAGCATCAACAACCCAAGGACCCCTCCAGAAAGCAGCCCTCTCCATTCTTCACCAGAAAAGAAAGTTGGCTGCAAACGAACAATACAACCACCAGGACCGAAAGAGCAGAAAGCCCTGCTCCAAAGGAGAGCATGAAGCTCGCCAACCTGACTCCCAGAGGCCAATGCCAACAAGAAAGGAGCCTTAGAAAAACAGTCCTGAACCGAAGGAGCCACCACAAACTGAGGAGGAGAGAGAAAAGAGAGCACCCGGTCCAACAACCTGGATGGCTCAGGTGACGCATGAGCAGACCGGAGGTGAAACAATGCCCAAGAAAGCTTGCAGAAAGAAGCAGAAGCGACATTCACCCGGAACACAACCTGAGGTGGCTCTGCCAGCACTGCACAATATGAGGCGGCAGTGTTCGGCATAAGATGACTGTCCTGAAATAACCAAGAGAGAGAAAGGACAAAACAACCCGATCAGAAATCAAAGACAGCCAACAAAGAGTCAAGAAGTCCTGAAAGGACCACCAGGAAACTTCACACTGCCGTCGAGATGCGACTCACAGGTGGGACACCATCAACGAAGCCACCTGATCACCATATAAGTGGTAATAAACCCACGTAAAAAATCTAGACGCGAAGATCGGAGGAGAAGATTGTACCAGCCACGTACCGGATTGGACCAATCTGCTGAAAGAGGCGGAGCCACGGGAAGACCCTCGGGTTCGGACATCAAGCAAGCAGTGCCTGAAACCAAGGCTGGGCCAGCCACCAAGGGGGCCAACGAGACTACCCTCCCCTGGTAAGTCTACAAGCGAACCAGGACCTGGGGCAACAATCAAATCAGGGGGGGGGGGGAGAGATACAGGTAACCCCACCTTGGCTATTTCAGCTGAAAGGCATTGACCCCGATGGCCTCACAGTCAGGGAAGGGCGCCACATAAACCAGGAGACGCCTTGATGACGCCGATGCGAAGAGGTCCACCTCAGAGCACCCGAATGTCTGGTAATGTCTCCAAAGGAACGAGACATCGTCAACACTCCATTCTGTGGACAGGGAAATGAAATAGGACAGGCCATCTGACAGGATGTTGAACACCCCCTGGATATGAATTCCCAGGAGAACCAAACACTGAGAACTCAGCAGACAAGTCACCCAAAGTGACCACCCCAAAGAGCCAAGGACTGCATCGAACCCAGTCAGTTCAGGCTGAACTACCGGGGAGCAGTCCGAATGGAGTCGAATCGTTGATCCGAAAGTGACATGAACCCTTTGAAGTGAAAGACACATTGCTGCAAACTCCCACACCATGCTGCGAGCCTGACAGAAGGACAGACCCCATCGCTCCTGGCAGGCCTGGTGAGCACTGGTCACAAAGCCCCAGCTGAGAGACAATGCATCTGTGAGCACATCGAGCGAAGGCTCGGGTAGGTGCCATGGCACAGAAACCCCGAAAAACCCGAAGAGGAAGCCAGCAAAGCAGCAGCCGATGCAAGGCTTCCCAGGGTCCAGACCCAGCAATCATGACAGCGATGAAGGGATGTCCCCGAAGGAACCAGAACAGCCGCCGAAGCCAGATCCAACCTGACTGGTAGACCAGCACGGTGAAGTTCAGACTCCCGCACAGCTGCTCAAGCAACCTACAAGTGACCCGGGTACCCTCCAAAAACAACCGAAGGTGGGACTGCAACCACAGCAATGCCGCTGGAGGGAAAGACAAGGAAGCGGTTCGAGAGTCCCACACAAGACCCAGCCAAGTCCAAACCTAAGAGGGAACCAAATGGGACTTTCTCCGAGTTCACCAAGAACCCAAATCCGACAAGCTGGGAAAGAACCAAATCCCTGGCAAGCAGACACGCAAACCGGCTGGGAGCCCAGACCAGCCAGTCGTCGAAGTAAGCCTGAACCCGAAACCCTAACAGACACAAATGGGTCACCACAACCTAGGTAAGGCCTGTAAAAATGCAAGGTGCCAGATTCAAGCTGAATGGAAGGCAACGAAAGCTGTAAGCTTGCTGCCCCACAAAAAAACCGAGCCAGTCCCTGAACCCCAGATGAATCGGGACATGCCAACATGCGTCCCGGGGGTCCATGGGCAACATCCAAGCACCAGGTTCCAAAAGCAGCCAGACCTGGTACAGAGTGGTCGTACATAAGGCGAGCCAAAAGACCCAGGGGTTCAGATGGGACAAGTCCAGAAAGAACCTTAGGTCTGCACAGTCCCGTTTTTGAACTGGAAACATGGGGGAAAACCCACCTGAGGAACGCTTTTGTTTCAACAACGCCCAAGCGTACCCACTTCAGGATGACCTGACAGAGCACAGAGGAAGAGGTCTGTCCCACCAGCCCCAAACCCCCCGAAAGAGGAGGAACCACCTAAACGCCACCACAGGCCGGAGGAAACGACCCGAAATGCCCACGAATCGTGGGACCAGACGCGAGCAAACAACACGAACCCCCCCTTCCCAATCGCCCCATCAATGGAGGAAACTGCAAAAGAACTGACAACATTTATGAGAGGCCAACCAACGCCCAGAGCAAGCACTGTGCCGACCAGACGTTGACGGCTCCACAGGAGGGACCGGCCCCGAACCTGGTACCGCTCGCTTATGATGACCGAAGGAGCCCCGAGCCCTGGAAGGACCTTCTGGGTAGGGCCCCCATGCCACTCCCCACGGAGACCTGACAAGTCTGACATAGGCCGGCAACTAGACAAAGCCGCCTGCAGAAAATACACCATTGCAGACTCTGCAAACAGCAACGAACAAAAAGAGGACGAAATTCTAAAAAGAGCCAGGGCCCAAGCAGATTGCAAAGAGTGGACGAGCACCGCCTGTCTGCACGCAAGGCGAGAAGCAAAGAACAGAGACACTGCTTCCTTCAGAATCGGTGCAAACAACTTCAACAAGGCAGCCGACACCCAAGCTGCCGAGGCAAGTGTGCTGGACACCGGCCAGGAAACCAGCTCCTCCACATCCTCCTTGAGCCAGTCTGAAGACAGCTCTAAGAGGGGAAAAGAAATGCAAGACCGAAGCCAAATGCCCATGGGCCCGCAAATCTGCTGCCACCAGGGACACCGAAGGAGAGGGAATCTGCACGTGAAGCTGTACCTGGCCACATATCGCGAGGAAGCACAGGACGAACAAGCACGAATTGAGGTGCTCAAATTTGCCCCCCCAGGTAAACCTGATTGACTGCAGTCAACTCCCGCCATTAAAGCATGTGGGTCTATTGGAACCCATGCCATGCCCACAGTGGAAAAAAAAAGGTAGTCTGCCAGCCAGGGAAACTCCGGCCCCTCGTAACACCCAGTTAGGAAAAAGAAAAGCCATACGCAAAAGAAGAAAGATCCATTATCAAGGAGTAATCCGGGTCTCGCATGAGGTGAGCTGCAAGGGCCTCCCGCACCTCTCTTGGCGGGAAGCCGAAAACCTTCGGAAGGAGGGAACCGAGGAACCCAAGGGAACCCGGAGCTGAACCCAGGGAGAAGTCTAACCCATATCAAATTCGTACAAGGCAGGGAGAGAGGAAAACCCCTTTCCCTGTAACAACACGCCCCATGCTGAGGGTACCAACACCCAAGCGGAGTCAACAGGAGCCCAAGCCCCCCAAAGTCAACTCCTCTCCAGCCCTGGGATCCTCCACGGCAGGACCCAGGGAGGCCAAGTCTTCCTCCAAACTATCTGCCTCTGAAGAAAGGCAGAGTCCTCCGGAGAAGCAAGAAAGAAGGGGGCCCACTGGCATGACCCGAAAGCTCCGGCAGGAGAAACAGGCTTTAATGCCGCCACCACCGATCTGGAAGAGGCAGTCCGAGTCTCACCACCAAGAAAGCCCTGCCCAACTCCGAAACCCTCAGACTTTTGGGAGCCGAGAGCAGGGAGGAAAAGCAGGATGAACCACAGCAGGGAAAGGACAAGAAAGCGCAGATGAAACAAAGTCGAGGCAACTAACACCCCCAAGTCCGGATCCCTATAACCAAACGCGGGGTAACCGTGGGGCATCCGGAAAGGCAACTAACCGAGCACGTAGCAGCAGCCTAAACCACGCATGCAATGCTATAGCTAACTGCACCCGAATATCAATATTAGTGGACTGGGTGAATTGGAGTACAAACAAGGAACACCACTCACAGGACTCCGGGTCAAAGGTGTCATTGACCCAGCAGGCAGCATGGCGGAGGCAAAGACGGCGAGTGTCACCCTGAGACAAGGGGACAGAGGAACCTTCAAACTCTAACGAAGCAAGATGGGATTCGGATGACACATCCATTGGACCAATGAGCCCCAATGGGGGTTTTCAGGGCCCCTTAGGCTGACTGCTAAGGGAAGCCCAGGCAAGGTACTTCTAACCGGTTATCCCAGAATTACCAAACAAAAATGCTGAACCCCTGTGACGTGTGCAATCATGGAGACCTAGCAGAGGGCCACCAAAATCATACAAGAGGTTGTACAGCCGCACCAGGCCAAACAAAACACGAGAAAAGAAGCACCCCGCAAAAGCACAACATCTCCAGGAGGAACGGAACCGGCCCCTATATTTTTTTTTTTTTTTTTTTTTGAGATATATACAAGAGTTGTTACATTCTTGTACAGCCACTAGTACGCGTAGCGTTTCGGGCAGGTCCCTGGAATACGATCCCCACCGCGAAGAATCGTTGTTACAACCAAGTACACATTTTACTGTTGTGTTAAACAGAGGCTACAGTTAAGGATTTGCGCCCAGTAAATCCTCCCCGGCCAGGATACGAACCCATGACAAAGCGCTCGCGGAACGCCAGGCGAGTGTCTTACCACTACACCACGGAGACTGAATGTACGGAGAATGTGTATTATAAGACAGCTGGCACAGTACCTAGCGCCCCTGCCAGTGACGATGCTACCTCCTACCCAAGGCCAAATAGGGGTAGGAAAAAAAAAACCAGCAGACCCCCAGGGTGGGCAATCACCAAGCAGCAAAAGAACCTTGCGAAGATAACCCCCGAACAGTTTGAGTAAGGTAACTCCAAACTGCAAGGGCAGTACTTACAGGACACCTAGGGAAGAGAACCCTAGGTACATGCAGCCCCAGTCCTTCTGGAATAACACCTGGCTCGCACACGACCACACCGCAGCACATCATCGCAAGGCACAGCACTGCTCAAAGATTGGAGCCAGAGTCGATCGACCGCCGCCCAACACAACAGCCTCAGAACTGGGGTTGGGAAGCTGGAGCGGGAGATCTGGGACCGCTTTTTCCCCTTCCAGGGAATAAGGTGTTGCACAGACAGCACCGTGGGGGCTGTGGCGACGTCATGCTTGTTAGCTTGTTTTTCGATTGGGGAGTTCTGTTTGCTCGTTCGGCTTTTGGTTTGCAATATTTAACCGGCTGTAGTTTGTTTTGAGATTCTTACCATTCTGAGTGCCTGACCTGGTAGATGGCTAACAGAGAATGCTTATAACTACATGGGGGGGTGTCTATAGGGCATTGCTCCTCGTGCCTCTCTGAGGGGGGCCAGGTTCTGGCTCGTGGTCCTCAGTAGGCTAAGAACTTCACTGATTGACTGTTGTCATGGTCTAATACATACACATCAGCCCGGTATAGCTCCGGGAAGCAGGAGGGGCTCTCCACAGAAAACTGCTGTTATCAAATTCCTGTCATAAAATACCAAATATTAATCCATTTACATAACAAAATGAACTTTGGTGACGGAACATAAGGTTTCATGATGCCTAGATGCAGGAAACAATGGCTGCGTGCTGTCTCTCTCTACCTCATGCTGTGAATATCCTACCTAACATTATGTTCACCGAGATCTGAACATTGTACAGAGTCTTTATGACAGTCAGGATCATCTATAACATTATCAATGCTAAATAATTTCAGTTGCTTATTTTAGTCATTACTAAGTGGTGCTGTGGCCCCTAGCTGCACAGTGGTGCTGTGCACGGCTCCTGCATACACCAGCCTTGGTCGCTCTCTCAGTACCAAGGCTCTCCCAACTAGCAAGGATGCTGATGATTTTTTCAAGATGGCATCTGTTTACTGGAGTCTTGAGACACAGGATGTGAGCCCTGTGTACTGGCAGGAGTTTTGAGTCACTCCCTATACTGTACCTAAAAATGCACGATGCTCTGCGCACCCTCGATCCAGTGCCACAAGGCACTCTACGCAGTGCAGTGATTAAGGAGTAGATATATGGTCTAAGATGTAATCACATAATCTACATGTCCTTAACAAAAACAACAATAAAAGCTCTGAATGCGAGCCGAGGTGCAGTACATTAAAATTTGACCACTTGTGTAGACTTCATCTTTGGTGAAGTCACTTAATAGCTCAGGCTATTGATACTTGTTCTATCTCATGCTGTCTCTGGGATGCAGCCTTTATCTTGCTAGTGGCCTGCTAGTACAATATACACTCTTGCTCTATTAAAAATTAAGAATCAAATTTCCCACTTGTCATAGGCTCTTTGAATCACAAATGTTTTATTTTTAACAATCTTTTGCCAACTCACCTTATACATCCAGTCAAGCTTGTCATCTCCTTTTTTCTCAACTGCTCCTGAATCTTCTGCAGTTTTTCTGAGCTCGTCCCTCTCTCTCTCTTCCTTCAGTTCTCGCTGAAGTTCTGCCACCTTACGGTCTTCTTCAGCTTTCTGTTGTTCTGCCTTCCACACCCTCTCCTGGTTCTTCATGGTATGGGGGTGCCATGATTTCTTCAAATTCTGAAGTTAATATTTAAATATACTGTATACTGATAAACACTTGAAAACTTATAGGGGAGTATTAGATAAATATTGCATAACAGCCAATTAATTATTCATTAGTGAAAATTTATATTTTTATTTTTGTCTTTTGCATCACAGTAAAATTTAAATACAATGTAACATTCATAATCTGTTCTATATCATTCTAAACCTGATCTGGATTTCCAAATAATCCCGGTTATTTACAATTAGTAAATTACTGCCTTTTTAAACAACATATCAATGAGCAACACAGGGAAAATAGTATTTTAGAGTGTTAGTTAACACTAATAAATATAGGAACATCAAAAGAAACAGTGACCCAAGGAACAATTATCACAAGGAAATTAGATTTAATGAGAGAAAACTTAATTAGGGTACAAGACTGTCATAAAGTAAATCATGAGTGATTTATCACCCTTATCCCAGGACACAAGTGTCTCATGTTGGGAGTTTACAGATCAGTGATCACAATTACAGTTCAGATGTGGTGGGTGTGATGAAATAAGACATCTGATTATACTGGCAGATGGCAATTTATACATTCACCTGTACAGTATTATTATGGATAGATCTCATTGCTATATTAGATGGAGTAGAGTGTTACAGGTAGCGAGAAGGAACAAGGTCTTGACCCGACTTCCCAACGATTCGGATAACCAATTCCTCCACCACTCCCAGTGACATAAGAGGAACCATAGTTTATCCAGTCATATGCAAGTGATGGTAGAAATTGCATTCTGATTTGTTAATTACTTCCTCAGAGAACACCAATGAAGGCACAAAGGCAGGAGACTATGTAGCATTCTGTGAGGAAGCCTCTCCGTGACGCCATACGAGGAGTGAGCTCGGCTAGCTCTCCTTTAGCTCTATCACCTCATTCTCAGTGTAGCAACCAAGGTATTAGGATGCGGTACTCATCCTAGTACCAGAGTCACATCACTCCTTAAGCTACAAGTACCAACTCAAGAACGCATCCTTTGACAGACAACACCACGATGGTAGAGACAACTCCCCATTCAGTGATGACTTAAGAAGTACACGTATGATGTGCGGTGTGGATGTTAAGTGAGTACTCCATTAATTGGCGAGTACGTTAGTAATTCACATTTTTGTGGTGCTAAGTGCAGCTCAGTGAGCTGAGGTAGTGTTTCTTGACTAATATTTGATGCGGCCATTTCAGGCAAGAACCCCTGCGAGGTGAATGTATTTATACACATGTCAATTACTTGTGCATGCAATTATTCCCCAACATAATTTTGAGCTCCTAATTGTCCTTTGGATATGGCAGTGGGTTAGGTAGCCATTATTGCTGGAACATAAGCAAGTGTTAACAAAGGATGCAGCCGACACATATTTCGTCCAACATCATGTTCCATAAAGACAATTAGCCCCAAATCCACGTGTACAGTATATACAATACTGTGGAACCTTGAATAACAAATTTAATCCGTTCCGGCACCGAGCTTGTTATGTGAAACGTACATCTTTCAAAATGAATTTCCTCATTTAAAATAATGAAAATCAAATTAATCCGTTCTACCACCGAAAAACATCAATATGATATTCAATGTTTTAAATAATGGAGCAGCCTACCTTACATACACTGAACAAACCTTTATGACATTTTTCTTTCATCAAATTTGTTAAATTTGTTTTCATTTGTTTTTATAGCAAAAGGTTCGTTCGGTGTTTGTCAGGTAGGCTGCTCCATGTTCCTTAAAAGATAAAATAAATAAAAACAGTTGAAACAATTTGAAAAACGGACAAATGCCATGAAGGTTCGTTCAGTGTTTGTCGGGTAGGCTGCTCCATTATGACAATCTTTGTTTCAAATATGTTCCATTTGTTTTGTATTTTTCCATTTATTTCTCAATAATGGAGCAGCCTACCTGACAAACACCGAACAAACCTTTTTGACTTTTTTTTTTTTAATTTCATTTCTTTTTTCTACAAAAAGAGTCAATGCTTTGCAACATCACAGCAGTCACCCCTTTACATCCCAGAATCATTAGCATCTTTAAAAAAAAAATTATTTATTTGCATAGTGGGAGGCGTCCAAGAATGTGCGAGAAGCAGCACGACCCCACCAAGTGGTGTTGTCGTTGTTCAAACGAGCGCTCGCCAAACGAGACGAATTGTCAGTGATCAGGGCGCTCGTTACCCAAATTGCTCGCCAATTTGCCCAATTGAGGCGCTAGTCACTCGAGGTTCTACTGTACTTCATTTTCGTTTTATGCTTAATAAATTAGATATTAAGCACAGGGTGTTTCAGGAAATACCATCTCCCTCATAATTTGCAAACTTGTCATATCGGTCCTAAAAAAGGATCCTCTGCCTATACTAGCCCTGTCAAAGGAAATTTTGATGAATTAATTACAAAATACTCTGAATTACCTTGCACAACCAGGATCAAATCAGAAACCAATATCTGGCAAGATCTCCTCAAGATCTTGTGCCATTGCTCTAGGTATTTTATGTTGTAGATAACTACTTTGAGTGGTAAACAAGCCTCTCCCAGCCTAGCTGAACACAAAGGTGGTACAGCAATAAAGTAATCTTGGAGAAGATGATTATATATATTAGGACTAGGAGGTGTACCCAGCTGCACCCACATCTATCTCCCCTTCCACACTTCTCCCCTCTCTTTTTTCCCTATCCCTCCTCTCGTCCTATCTCCCTTCCTTCTCCAACTTTCTCCCCTCCCCTCTTCTCTCACCCTACTCATTACCTCTTATCTTGCCCCACTACTCCACTCCCCTCCCCTCTCACTCCACTCCTTCACTCTCCGCTGTCTATCTCAATTTCCTCCCCTCTCTCCTTCCCTCTCCAAACCATTCCCCCCCCCCCCCTTGACCCAGTCTCTACAGGCTTATCTCTGTTTCTGTCTGTCTTTTCATTGTCTCTATCTCTCCCTCTCCAATAAAAATACAGTAGTAGCTCCAACAACATAGTGGAACCTCAGTTTTCAAATGCCCCCCTTTTCGAATTTTTCAGTTCTTGAGCTCAATTTCTTCTAAAAATTTGACTCGGTATTCGAGGTTTGCCTCAGTGCTCGAGTTTGTTGGTGCACGTATGGGCCGACCGAGCACGTGGCGTGCTTCAGCTTGCCAATGTCTCCCACCTAGTGATAACCACACTTGAATTCTTTGTAAAAAATCATTGTTTTTGTGCTTTTTTTGGTTTATGAACATAAAAGTTCTTATTGCCACGCCATGGATTCCAAGAAAGTCAGTGGTAAAGTTCAACCTAAGAAAATAGTTGTGAGGATGACGATAGAGGAAAAACAAGAGAGCATTCATAGTGAGTAAATGTGATGTCTCACTACAGACAAGTGTTAAAATGTAGGGGAAACAAGTGTCTATAGACAGATTCTTTGTAAGGCAAGCAAGCAGTGAGCCACAACCAGGTCCTAGTAGTATGCCTGCAAAACAGAGAGAGTACCCCAGAAATGTCATCACTGCTGTTATAATGAAAGGGGACTCCCTTTCCAAACACTAACACCTCTCCTCCTCCCACCTTTCCTCACTGTCTTCCATACACCAACAAGAGTCTTCAATAAAGGCAAGATATACATGTACATACTGTAGAACAAAATATTAATAGTAGTATGTACATAAAATGTACTTTTAAGTTAATATTTTTGCGGGTTTGGAACGGATTAATTCAATTTACATTATTTCTTATGGGAAAATTCGTTTCGGGTTTTGAATTTTCGGTTTTCGAACCATCTTTGGGAACAGATGAAATTAGAAAACGGAGGTACCACTGTACTTGTATTACGTATGTTAGTATTAAATGTGTAATATGTTAGTATTAAACCTCGCCCCACTGTGGAATTATGTGAAGCTTTATATACCTATAGAATATAGTTCATTACCAAATACAGGTACTATATTCAATATACAGTCCCCTGATGAAGATAAATTAATAAACAATGAATAAATTTACCTGAATAAACAGTGGGAGTTAGAATGTGATGATGGCACACTATTCCCTCTTGAATTCTGGCAACACTGAAAAGCCTATGTTTGTCCTGTACCCAAGACCATTCAACCCCTTGCAAAGTTGGATAAGGCTGACCTGCAACCTTGGATGGACAGACAGGCATTCTTACAGATACAGATGGTTGGAAATCTGGCTATCTGGATGTAAACAAGATGTAGTCCTGAATGCAAATGCATCGGACTGGCTTGATGTGACAAGTGAATTGCCACAGAATTCTGTAATGAGCCTGTGAGTTTTTTATATACAGTACATAAATGATACCAGTGATGTCTTATGCAGCATAATATAAAAATTAGCTGATGACATCAAACTAGGTGTCATCAGCTAACACCTGATGTACCATAGCTGAATAGGCAGCTATGCTACAACACCCTTAGTGCAACATAGACTGCACAACTTGATAATGGCCCAGGACAGACCGAAACATCATTTTTCCATTTTCTGACGAGTGGTTTGGTCATCATATCTTCAGCCACATTATTGTGACATCATCTGAATAGACTGCAAGATGACAAACATCTTGGTAGGTCTACAAGTAGTAGATAATGTTCAGTGCTGAAGTTAAAAAAGTAGTGTTGCACATCGGAAAGATAAATGAATTTAAAGCAAATTATCAAACTATCAATAAAATATTAACCGAAGTAAACAATGATACCTTTGAGTGATAACAACTAATGAAGTAGGATTCAAAACTTGAGTTGGTGCTAAAATTATGATGTCATGTACCTCGTGCACACCATATAAACAACACAGTGGTATGCGAACAAGGGGACACAGGTGGAAACCAAGTACCCAAATGAGCCACAGGGGCGTTAGAAAGAACTTTTCCAGTGTCAGAGTAGTTAACAGATGGACTGCATTAGGCAGTGATGTGGTAGAGGCTGACTCCATACACAGTTTTAAATGTAGATATGATAGAGCCCAATAGGCCCAGGAATCTGTACACCAGTCGATTGACAGTTGAGAGGCAGAAGTCATCTCTCGTATCAGGAATGGTTGAGTGCCACAGGGCTAACAACATTGCAAATGACACATGACAGGGCTGATCTCATGGAAACTTAAAATACTGAACAATTTGGAGGATGTTGATCCAGACAATTTCTTTAAAAAGGTCAGATGCAACACAAACAAGGAGCAACGGTTTCAAGGTCAACAAGCCACAATGTAGAACTGAGAACAGGAGAGGCTTTTTCACCCACAGGGTCATAAACCCATGGAACTGCCTACCCGCCAAAGACGTAAATGCCAAAACTCTGTTTAGTTTTAAAAACCAGCTTAAAAATTCAACAGGACAAACGGAGGGACCTTTGACAAACTGCCAGCTTCCTGTCCTTGTCAAGGCCATTCGAGTGTTAGTAGCCCTCAGGTAAATTCAGACACTGCTGTGCTAATGACCTGAAGCTAAGCAAGCAATGTACAAAGTTTATAAGAATGGCAAAATAGAATGATGGGTTTTACTAGCAATCTTTTTAGTTTCCTCCATCTGTATTGCATACATATAAATAAGGGAAATAATCCTTACAAGATCTCCACCACCCATCCTGATGATCCGGTTAAAGGTTCTTCTTGTCCAACTATACCAAAGGATTACATGAAGGTAAACTGGACCGCTTCTTGTTCTTCACGACATTCTTGTTCTTGCCCGAGGGTTGTTCCTGGCACTGCACTCGTCCTCCTGGTACTGCACTCGTCCTCCTGGCACTGCACTCGTCCTCCTGGCACTGCACTCGTCCTCCTGGCACTGCACTCGTCCTCCTGGCACTGCACTCGTCCTCCTGGCACTGCACTCGTCCTCCTGGCACTGCACTCGTCCTCCTGGCACTGCACTCGTCCTCCTGGCACTGCACTCTTCCTAGCGGCACTGCACGAGCGATGAACTCAGGACCAACTGCCAGAACCTCGCGGTGCTACACCGAACGTAAACAAACTATCACGTTCGTGTTAAGAAATCCGCGATAATCTGTTTACTATTAAGGTACTTTTTTTTTAGCCTTTTAGATATTTATTATGAATAAATAATAAATAATAAATAAATGTTTATTTAGGTAAGGTACATACATACAAGAGATTTTACAAAGAATGATGGATTTATAGATAGGGCTAGTACATACAATGCCTAAAGCCACTATTACGCAAAGCGTTTCGGGCATGAAAAACTTAAATGACTAAATGACTTGTAACGTACATTTATGTCACGTTGTTGGGTAGATTAGATACACATTGTTTAGTGAGTTTTCATATTTATTTAGTAGTCTTGATTACAGTAGTCGGTTGGTAGCATTGTCTTAAACGTTCAGACGGAGCTTGGAGCAGAGCAGAGAGCTGAGTGAGGTCGGAGTCGCGGAACTCTATGTGGGAGAGCGTGGCGGCTCGATTGGGAATTGCGAGTGTCTGAACTCGGGGAGCGAGAGCGTAGTAGCTTGATGCGGTCGTAGTCTGCTGTCTGCTCTGTGTCGAAGCTGTAGCGTCTTGGGTCGATTAGAACTGCCTACGCCGAGTACTACATTCTTGACTGGAGATTTTACTGTTCGCTATTGGTTGTTGTTGTTTAAGATTCGCTACTCAGAACAATAAGTTCCAGTTCAATAAGTAACAATAAGTTACTTCTTCTCAAGGTCATGTTTTTTATTAATGGATTTAAGTATCCCCTTTGTAAGCCAAGGATTGTTTAACCTTTTAGTTGTGACTTGTTTCGTTAGCATAGGACAGTGGGTGTTAGAATGTTTGTACTGTAACTCTGCAACTATGTATGTACTGTTCCTAAATAAATTATTATTATTATTATTATTATTATTATTATTATTATTATTATTATTATTATTATTATTATTATCCTCAAGAAAGAGAAGATATACTGTGTGGTAAGTATATAACATAAGGATATGTAGCGAGTAGATTATCCCAATAATATACTCGCTCCAAATATAGTGTTAATATTCCTGTCAACCTTTGGAGATGAATGAGGTGAGGTGTTGCCCGAGCAATATAAGCAGCGGTGTAGCGAACATTGGCTAGTCTACTTTCAAGTGTGGTCTAGAGCAGACACTTGCGAGATACTGTACCAACGCTCAGTGCGCTCAACTCACACCAACGTATCACCTGTGTACTTCTGTATATTCGACCAAATATATATATAGTATCTTAGTGTCTGTGTTTATTTGTCACCATACTTTACGTAACCAAGAACCGTTACATTGGTGACCCCAGAGAGTTTCGACGATACCCAGCCACGATGGACTACAACATGGACTCTCACTGGACCTCCACTGCTGCTGCTTGCTGTGGACCGCAGCCACCTGTCATGGAACGTTGCCAACACCCTTGCCATAGCTATGATTTTCATCGCGATCGTCTCTGCATTTTCATCTACTACGACTTGCTGCTCCACGATCACTACTCACTCATCTGGCAGCTTCATCAGTAACTACATAATGTGGGATCTACAGCCTGCCCTGCCGACTCTCCGTCGCTGCCAGGGCACTGCTTGTTCTACAGGGGCGCCCACGAAAGCTGCTCTTTCGTCAGATTCATCTACACGTTCACTGCATTCTGATACTCTGCCGACTCAAGCCCTTTGCGCAGTACAGGACTTACAGCTTGCGTTTCCGACTCTTCGTCGCCTCCAGGACAATTCAGCTCTAGCAGTGATTCCCTCGTTGTCCTAACTACGTGCCTACATTACCTCCTAATGTCCTGGTGCCCGAGCCCATCCGCCCCGGATCTAAATGCTCCACCAGCGACCCGAGGACGCAACAATTATGCACATTCTTCTCTCCTGCTACACCGAGCTTGTCCACACACTGCCTACATCTTTTAGTACCAGACTACAATTTCCACAGTCAACAATGTAGTACTCGGCGTGTACAGTCCTAATTAATCAACCCAAGACGCTACAGCTTCGACACAGAGCAGACAGCAGACTACGACCGCATCGAGCCGCCACGCTCTCGCTCCCCGAGTTTAGACACTCACAATTCTCAATCGAGCCGCCACGCTCTCGCTCCCCGAGTTTAGACACTCACAATTCTCAATCGAGCCGCCACGCTCTCCCACATAAAGCTCCACGACTCCGGCCTCACTCAGCTCTCTGCTCTGCTCCAGGCTTCGTCTCAACGTCTGCGACACTGCTAAATCCAGAGACACATCCGCCGACTACGCAGTTCACTTTTCGACCACAGTTACCAGCAGCACCGCCACCTACGACAACGGACGATCCTGTACGACCTCTCACCCTACAACCCCAGTTACCAGCCGCACCACAACCTGATCCTACGACGACGGACGATCCTGTGCGACCTCCCACCCTACGACCCCAGTTAGATGACATCAGCGAAGAGGAGGAAGTTAACTTTGATGGTTATGTAACGCGAGCAGAGCGTACAATTCACCGACCAGCTAAGTTCCTTGATCAAGTATTTTTCCTTTCATCCCCTGGGAGGGGGAGTTCTGTAGCGAGTAGATTATCCCAATAATATACTCGCTCCAAATATAGTGTTAATATTCCTGTCAACCTTTGGAGATGAATGAGGTGAGGTGTTGCCCGAGCAATATAAGCAGCGGTGTAGCGAACATTGGCTAGTCTACTTTCAAGTGTGGTCTAGAGCAGACACTTGCGAGATACTGTACCAACGCTCAGTGCGCTCAACTCACACCAAAGTATCACCTGTGTACTTCTGTATATTCGACCAAATATATATATAGTATCTTAGTGTCTGTGTTTATTTGTCACCATACTTTACGTAACCAAGAACCGTTACAGATATGATATATGTTGAGTACATTAATCACATCAATAATGTACTCCCTGTGGCGTGCAGTGGTAACACATATTCGCCCGGTGTTTCACGAGCGCTTTGGCCTGGGTTCGTATCCTGGCCGAGGAGGATTGACTGGGCGCCAACCCTTAACTGTAGCCTCTGTTCACCCAGCAGTGAATGGGTACCTGGTTGTTAAACGATTTGGCGGGTCATATACCGAGAAAAGTTAGGATTAAGGGCCTGCCCAAAACGCTATGCGTGTTTGTGCCTTTATAAAAATGTAAGAACTTTTGTATATATGAAAAAAACAGCAAAATAAACAAAATAAAAAAGTATTTATGTTTAAGTTCTTCAAGAATATTTACTTAAAAATAAATTTTTAGGCAGTTTATTTTACATCAATATAGATTAACTACATAAAATATAATTTATTGATATTTTTTAATAAACACTTAAAATATGTAAAAACTCATATAAATATTGTATAAAAATATATGGTTTGCTGATTAACAAATTTAAAGAAAATAGTTGCTAGTATCCCCTTCGCTGAAACGTTTTTTTTAGACATAAATTGAATAAATTTTTAGACTACATAAAAATTAACTACGACTAAATTAACTACATAAAATATAATTTATTGATTTTTTTTAATAAACACTTAACATATTTAAAAACTCATATAAATATTGTATAAAAATATATGGTTTGCTGATTAACAAATTTAAAGAAAATAGTTGCTAGTATCCCCTTCGCTGAAACGTTTTTTTTAGACATAAATTGAATAAATTTTTAGATGCCCATTGATGGCAGCAAGGCATTATAATTCCCGATATCAGGAAGATGACGCTTGTCATAGCTTATCATCACTTATATGATGTCCCGTAGTCACTTATATGTAAGCACTGCAGATCATAGAGGAGGAAGACTTTCAGAAATAATTTTAATCTTACATAAGCATAGGATGAGTGTATAAAATTCTTGCATGTTGACTTTATTAAGGTGATGGCTAAAGTCTTTAGAGGTTTTGATAAGGGGAGGAAGAAGGGCGGGGAGTTTAAATTCTGGAAATTAAGGGTAGAGGCGTGTGAAAAATAGATTAGATTAGACTAAAAAATTTATTCAGGTAAAGTTACGTACATTGAAGATGAGTTACAAACATAATGTTGGATATAAAGATAAAGATAGTATATACAATACCTAAAGCCACTAATACGCACAGCGTTTCGGGCAAGGTGAGGGGGGGGGGAGAAAACCCTTAGACTAAAAGTTAATAGTAATTGAGCTTAAAGTATAATTACATTAATGAAGGAGGGAGTTGATATAAAGGATGAGGGTGTGGATATAAAGGATGAGGGTGTGGATATAAAGGATGAGGGTGTGGATATAAAGGATGAGGGTGTGGATATAAAGGATGAGGGTGTGGATATAAAGGATGAGGGAGTGGATATAAAGGATGAGGGTGTGGATATAAAGGATGAGGGTGTGGATATAAAGGATGAGGGTGTGGATATAAAGGATGAGGGTGTGGATATAAAGGATGAGGGTGTGGATATAAAGGATGAGGGAGTGGATATAAAGGATGAGGGTGTGGATATAAAGGATGAGGGTGTGGATATAAAGGATGAGGGTGTGGATATAAAGGATGAGGGTGTGGATATAAAGGATGAGGGTGTGGATATACAGGATGAGGGAGTGGATATAAAGGATGAGGGTGTGGATATAAAGGATGAGGGTGTGGATAAAAAGGATGAGGGTGTGGATATACAGGATGAGGGAGTGGATATAAAGGATGAGGGTGTGGATATAAAGGATGAGGGTGTGGATATAAAGGATGAGGGTGTGGATATACAGGATGAGGGAATGGATATAAAGGATGAGGGTGTGGATATAAAGGATGAGGGTGTGGATATAAAGGATGAGGGTGTGGATATACAGGATGAGGGAGTGGATATAAAGGATGAGGGTGTGGATATAAAGGATGAGGGTGTGGATATAAAGGATGAGGGAGTGGATATAAAGGATGAGGGTGTGGATATAAAGGATGAGGGTGTGGATATAAAGGATGAGGGTGTGGATATAAAGGATGAGGGTGTAGATATAAAGGATGAGGGTGTGGATATAAAGGATGAGGGTGTGGATATAAAGGATGAGGGTGTGGATATAAAGGATGAGGGTGTGGATA